GAAAGAGCGAAAAATTGAAGCATTCAAGGGATAAAAATACGAGAATTTCCAGATTTTTGATTTTTCATCCCAAAAATGGAAAAATTGCAAAATCGAAAAAATTGGAGAAATGAAAAATCAAAAGCAACGAAACAAAAAATCGAAAATTTAAAAGGACAAATAATTGAAGAAACAAGAAATTTAAAGTTGAAAAGTCAAGAATCTACAAAGTCGAAAAGTTGAAAAAACAATTAAAAAATAGAAAAATTGAAAAATGTTAAAATTAAAAAAAAAAAACGAAAAATCAAAATTCTGAGAGATTAAAAAATTGAGAATCGAAAAATCAAACGTATAAAAATTTGAAAAATTCAAAATAAGAAAACCCGAAAAGTTCAAGTAACATAGACTCAAAAATTCAGAAGACTGAAAGCGAAAAATAGAAACAACAGAGAATCTGAAAAAACGAAAAGTGAAAAAAGAAGAAATGAAAAATAAAAAATTGGAAGGACGAAAAATGAAAGAAAAACTCTAGAGATGAGAAATCTAAATATTAAAAATAGAAATCTGAAAAATAAAAAAATCCAGAAATATGAAAAATTGCATAAACGATCCATTAAAACATGAAAAATCGCGAATCTGGAAAATCGAAAAACTGAAAAATTCAAAATATGAAAAATCGAGAATCCAAAAAATTGAAGATTCGAAAAATAGAATAAACGGAAAATAAAAATTCAAGTCAAAAATTAAAATAAATTATTGGAGAAATGAAAAATTGAAAAATTTAAAAGAGAAAAAATCCAAAAATTGATAGTTGAAAAATTGAAAAATTGAAAAACCAGAATTGAAAAATAAAAAAAATTGAAGAAATGAAAAATTAGAGCATCGAAAAAAATGTAACATTGAAAAATTCAAAACACTGAAAACGAAAAATGAAACAAAATCTGAAAAATCAAAAAATTTAGAAATTTGAAACTGACACTCGAAAAATTGACAATCGAAAAATCAAACGTAAAAAATTCTAAACAAGAAAAATCGAAAAGTTCAATTAACGAAAAATTGAAGAATTTGAAAGGTGAAAAATAGAAAAATAAAAAAAAATGAGGAAATGAAAAACAACGAAATTGAAGAAATGAAATTCAGAAGACGAAAAATTGAAAAATTGAGAAGATGAAAAATTAAAACCTGGAAACTCGAAAAATCAAAAAGGGGAAATGCTATACTGAAAAATGTAAAAGACAAAAAAATTGAAGAAATGAATAAACGACCATCTGAAAAATCGAAAAAAAATTCAAAGAAAGAAAAATTGAAAAAATCAAAAGACGAAAAACTGAAATACAAAAATTGAAAATCTGAAAACTCGAAAAAAGTAGATTTAATGAAAAATTTGGAAAATTCGAAAGGTGGAAAATTGAAGAAACGAAGAATCGAAAAATTCAAGACAGAAAATTGGCCATCTGAAAAACTGGAAAATTAAAATAAGAAACGAATGATTGAAAAATCAAAAAACAATAAAGAAAGATTCAAAAGAGGAAAACTGAGAATTTTAGAAGAGAATCGAAAAATTGAAGAATCCAGAAAAAGAAGAAATGAAAAATTTGAATAATCCAAAAGGTAGAAATGAAAAATAGAAAAATAAAAAATCTCGAACGACGAAAAACGAGAGTTCAAAATTGAGAATCCGCAAAATTGGGAATTCAAAAAAAAGAAAAGAAAAATTGAAAAATTTAAGATGAAAAATTGAAAAGCCAAATTCAGAAGATGAAAAATTGAAAAATTCGAAAGATGAAAAACCATAACCTGGAAAACAGAAAAATCGAAAAGAAAGAATGAAAAATTGAAAAAATGTAAAAGACGAAAAATTGAAGAAATTAATAAACGAGAATCTGAAAAATCGGAAAAAAAAGAATTCAAACGACGAAAAATGAAAAACTCAAAAGATGAAATATTAAAAATTGAGAATTTGAAAACTCGAAAAAAGAAAAGATTTAATACAAAATTGAAAAATTCGTAAGATGAAAAATTGAAGAAATGAAAAATCTGAAAATTCAAGATAGAAAATTGAGAATCTGTAAAATTGAACAAATAAAAAGAAACAAATTATTGAAAAATTCGAAGCGAAAAATGGAAAAATTGAAAAACTCAAAAAAGGAAAACTGAAAAATTCAGAAAAGAATCAAGAATCTGACAAATCGAAAAATTGAAGACTGGAAAAAAGTAGAAATAAAAAGTTGAAAAATTCCTAAGGAGAAAAATTCCATCATTAAAATCGAAAATCTGAAAAATCGAAAGAAAGAAAAATTGAAAAATTAAAAAACAAAAAAAGAAGACATGAAAAATTAAAAAATTCAGGAGGTGAAGAATGGAAAAATTAAAAATCGAGAATATGAGAAATCCAAAAAACGAAGAAAAGAAGAAAACAAAATTCAAAAGTTGAAAAATCGAGAATCCGAAAATTTGAATAATTTAATAAAGAAGAAATGAAATATTGAAAGATTCAAGAAGAAAAATGAAAAAAATTGAGGAAATGAAAAATAAAAAAATGCAGTAATGAAAAATTCAGAAGACGAACAATTGGAAAATTCAAAGAATAAAAAATTGAACAATTGAAAACACGAAAAGTCGAAAATCTGGAAGACCGAAACATTAAATATTGAAAAATGCAAAAGTCGAAAATTGAAATAGAAAAAAAATTGAGAAGTTTTTTGAATTTTTAATTTTTCAATTTTGGGACTTCTCGATTGTTTGATTGTTCAAGTTCTCGATATTTCAGATTGGTATTTTCCAGTGTTTCAATTCTTCAATGAAAATCGAAAAGTAAAATAACTGAAAATTCGAATATAGAAAAATCAACTACTCGAAAATCGAAAATCTGAAAAATCGGAAACCGAAAATTTAATAATCGCAAATCGAAGAACCGAAACATCAAAAATTCGAAAAATCAAAAAAACCAATGAACGAAATACCTACAAAAGCAACGAAATATCGAAAGTCGAATAATCGAAAAAACGGATATTCCAAATTTCGAAAACTGAAAATCTGAAAAAGGAAAAATTCGAGATTTCAAAATCGAAAGTTGAAAAAGCAAAAATTCGATTAATCAGATATTCGAGAAACCGAAAATTGAAAAAACTCATTCGAAAATTCATATTGAAAAATTGACCAAAAAACCTTTAAAAAATTCTGGGAAGTACATTTTCGAATTTTTAAATTTTGGGTTTTGATTTCTCGATTTTTTTATTTTTCAATATTTCGGTGTTGGGATTTTTCAATTTTTCGATTTCTCAATTTTTCAGTGTTCCAGTTTTACGATTTTTCAAGTTTTAGTTCTTAAATTTTTAATGTTTCTAAATTTTCAATTTTTCAGTTTCTCAATTTCTCGATTAAACGATTTTTTAATTTTCCCATTTATCGATGTTCCGACTTTTCAAAGTTTCGATTTTTCAATTTTTTGAATTTTGAATTTTTCAATTTTGGGATTTCTCGATTGCTTGATTGTTCAAGTTCTCGATATTTCAATTTGGTATTTTTCAGTGTTTCAATTCTTCAATGAAAATCGAAAAGTAAAATAACTGAAAATTCGAATATAGAAAAATCAACTATTCGAAAATCGAAAATCTGAAAAATCGGAAACCGAAAATTTAATAATCGCAAATCGAAGAACCGAAACATCAAAAATTCGAAAAATCAAAAAAACCAATGAACGAAATACCTACAAAAGCAACGAAATATCGAAAGTCGAATAATCGAAAAAGCGGATATTCCAAATTTCGAAAACTGAAAATCTGAAAAAGGAAAAATTCGAAATTTCAAAATCGATAGTCGAAAAAGCAAAAATTCGATGAATCAAATATTCGAGAAACCGAAAATTGAAAGAACTCATTCGAAAATTCATATTGAAAAATTGACCAAAAAACCTTTAAAAAATTCTGGGAAGTACATTTTCGAATTTTTAAATTTTGTGTTTTGATTTCTCGATTTTTTTTATTTTTCAATATTTCGGTGTTGGGATTTTTCAATTTTTCGATTTCTCAATTTTTCAGTGTTCCAGTTTTACGATTTTTCAAGTTTTAGTTCTTAAATAATAATTGATGTTTCTAAATTTCCAATTTTTCAGTTTCTCAATTTCTCGATTAAACGATTTTTTGATTTTCTCGTTTCTTGATCTATCGACTTCTCAATGTTTCGATTTTTCATTCTTTTGAATTTTTAAATTTTCAATTTTGCGACTTCGATTTCTTCATTCTTCAGTTTCTAGATATTTCAATATTGGTATTTTTCAATATTTCGGTTCCTCAATGGAAATTGAAAAGAAAAAAAATTGAAAATTCGAACATAGAAAAATCAATCAAGTATTCGAAAATCGCAAATCTGAAAAATCTGAAAACTGAAAATTGGAAAATTTAATAATCGCAAATCGAAGAAACGAAAGATCAAAAATTCAAAAAATTAAGAAAACGATGAACAAAATACCGACAAAAGCAATGAAATACTTATAGAAAGTCGACTAATCGAAAATTGTAAAATCCGAAAATCGAAAATGAAAAATTTGGATATTCCAAATTTCGAAAACTGATAATTTGAAAAACCGAAAATTGATAAAACTCATCCAAAAATTCATATTAAAAAATTAAGATTTTTACAAAATTGACGAAAAAATCTGGGAAATACATTTTCGAATTTTGGATTTTTTCGATTTCTCAATTTTCCAATGTTTCAGTTTTACGATTTTTCAAATTTTCTATTTTTATATTTTTCGAGTGTTTAATTCTCAAATTTTTGATGATTCTAAATTTTCAATTTTTCGATTCCTCGATTAAACGATTTTTTGACTCTTATTGAATTAATTATTATTAATTATTACCCACCTTACAAAATGATTTACTTTTTTGTTTCATTTGATATTTTTAACTAGGTAATAAATTTATGCGTAATAGTTTCAAAATAAACTTTGTTTAAGATAAAATGACTCATTGTATATTTGCTATATTTCAGGAGCTTAGGAATGTAAAAAGATCCAAAAGTTTCTATAATTACTTTAATATGATGTAACAATACAGTATTAAAATATAAGTAATTGGAAAAATTAAAAGCTACTAAATAAAACGTAAGACGTAGACTTTTAACCTTATAAATAATAATGTAATGTTCAATAAACACGAACTAGTACGACGACTCGAAATCAGTACCAGATTCGTCTCTTCTTTCCTTTAACATTTTCGGCGAGGCAGTTCTTAAATCATACGCCCACCCAATTTTGGCCATGATGTCAATAAAAATCGCCGACAAATTATGGGGAGACGTACCCAATTCTGCTGCTTTGTAATCCCATGGGAAAACATGATGGTAGTTATGCCAACCTTCGCCACCACTTAGTACTGCCGCCAGTTTGTTTTCGGTAGCTTTAATCGACCTAAAATCCTCCAAATAACCACAAGACTCTACAGCGTTCAACTAGTACCTGTTGTATGGCTTAGTACCCCAAGTATGGGCCACACTGTTGACCACCCAAGTAAAATGCAAAGTAAGGACATAACGAAGCATCCCAGCTACGCAAAACGAAATGTACAAATCCTCATTCCAATAATACCAAGGCACCATCGTCGGGAACACAAAGCACAAAACGGGTGCCAAAACCACGTAGTACCTGCAAAACGTCAACTTTGTAGTCTGAGACTTAGTTACCCTAACTTGGGTTACTTTTTTTGGAATCGTACTACCGGGTCGGCTTCCAGGTCGCTCAAGTCCAGGGTTTTTCCTCGTTTGATGACGTCCGGGTGTTTTCGCACCATCAGCCAGCCCATGTGGGAGAAAAAGAAGCCCCTGTTGATGTTGTGGGGGTCGGCGTCGGTGTCCGTGAATTTATGGTGGACTCGGTGGTCCCGAACCCACTCGTAGATGCAATTTTGGAAACCTATGGTTTGGAAGAAACATAACATGATTCTGAGGGGCAGTTTCGCTTTGTAGGCCTTGTGGGACCATAGTCTGTGGGAACCCGCTGAGACACCTAGACCCCCTGCACGTGCCAGGATAAAAGCTAAAAGAAGCTATTACAAGTTGTGAGTTTTTGGGGCTTGGTGCTTACAGAACAATGGAGTTTGCCATTTTGGAGTCATAGTTAACACGTAGTACAGTCCTAGTCCGCTAAAATAGTGATATAAAAGCATCACTATAACATTGGGCCATACTATCTGGGGTTTATAGCTGGTCGCGGAGCTCATTTTTTTGATAAACACTTTTCGCCACTTGATCACAACTGCGACTACAAACGAAAAATTTGTTCGTATATCCGTATGCGTTGACAGAGTTAAGAATGCGTAACAATGTGTTTAAATTTTTGTTCCATATGCAATTACAAAATGCTAATATACGCACAAACTTTGATAATATGTGCATATTTTTAGAATTGGTGGGCCTATCTACGCGTCTTCAGCGTTGCGTAGTCATACACTGAAGTATATTTTGTGATTGTGAAGGTCTATTTGTCCAATACGTGTGCTTTTAAAGCACGTCTGAGCCTTCTTCGATCGTCGCAAACGACGACTTGATTCACCATCGGCGAAAATATCGCTGCATCACGAGGGCAGAATATTGTACACACGCATAATTAACTAGAGCAGTCATAACTTGATTAGAAGAAACGGACATATTGTGAATTTGTGAGAAAATTTGAAAAATGACTTCAGAATTTTGGACTTTTAGGACTTCCGATACAAGTTTTTTGCTAATTTCAGTGTGGGACTAATACTTATTGGGTGTAGAATCGTTTTTTGAACATAGAATTTTAAGATTTTACATGTAAATACAGAAATTTGAAAATATTGACTACTAGATACAGTTTTTTCAATTTCTATAACTTCCGTATTAAACGTGTTAAAGCACTTAATTAGGGAGCGGATTTAAAATTTTTGTTTTTATGTAAAATGAGAGGTAAAATCCCTATGTTCAAAAAACTATTCTATATCCGGGATATGTTTACTGTACAATACATATACAATATATATAGTAATAGTAATAGTAATAGTAATATATATTTGTGTTACCATACAAAATATTTACACACGTCATAAAATAATTAACAAAAGCTTAATACTAAATCATAACTAACAAAGGAAAAGCACATTAGTTTTGCATTGATTTCATAAATTGAAAAAATTCTTCAAACGAGAAAAATGCATTTTGTATCAGTATTTTCTTAATACATACTTTAAATTGATTGAGATTAGCCTTTTTCATTGCAGTAGGTACCGCGTTGTAAAATTCCACACAATAGTGAGCAATGCTATTTTCAGATCTTTTAAGTCTAATGAAATCATTTCGCAACAAATGCCTATATCGAGTGGCGTATTCATGTTCGCCAGAGCCATAATTCGCTTGGTTTTGATAAATGAATAAAAGACATTGCAATATAAATTCACACGGAACTGTAATAATACCAAATTTTGTAAACAATTGTCGACAATCTTCTCTGTATCCGAGTCCACCAATGACCCTAACACATTTTCTCTGAAAAGCGAATATCCTTCCAGCATGAGCAGAATGACCCCAAATGAGTATACCATAAGAGATAATACTGTGAATTGTGCCAAAATAAGCAGTAACAAGAATATTTTGAGAAACAACACTATAAAGCTTACGGAGCAGAAATAATTTAGTTGCCAATTTTTTTAACATATGATCAATATGAATCTCCCAGGTCAATTTCCCATCAAGATAGAAATAAATAATTAAGAAAGAGCGAAAAATTGAAACATTCAAAGGATAAAAACTAGAGGATTTCCTGATTTTTGATTTTTCATAAGCTTGAATGAAAAATTGAATAGATGAAAAATCGAAAAATTGAAAATTTCAAACGGCAAAAATTGAAGAAATGAAAAATTGAAAAATTCTATGGAAACATGAAAACTGGAGAATCTGAAAAAATTAAAAGTTGTAGAATCGAAAACAGAACTGAAAAATTCAAAAGGTGAAAAATAATTGAAAAAACAAAACATCGAAAAAATCGATATAGAGACATCTAAATATTAAAATTCAAAAATCTGGAAAATCGAAAACTGAGAACAAGAAAAAATAAAAAACTGAAAGTTTGAAAATAGAAGAAACGATTAATTAAAAGTTGAAAAAACAACTAAAAAATAGAAAAATTGATAAAATTAAAAAAAACGAAAAATAAAAAAAATCGAATTTCTGAGAGATTAAAAAATTGAGAAATTTTAAATTGACACTAGAACAATAAGAAAAGCCAAAAAGTTCAAATAACGAAAAATTGAAAAATTCGAGACAAAAAATTGGACAATTGGGGAAATGAAAATAAAGAAATTGAAGAAATGAAATTTAGAAGACGAAACTTTGAAAAAATTGAAAATACAAAAAACAAAAATGAATCGAAGAAATGAAAAATAGAAAAATTAAAGAATGAGAAAATTATAAAATCGAAAAATTGAAGAAACGAAAAACCTTAACATTGAAAAATGAAAAATTCAAAAGACTGAAAAAGAAAACTTGACAATCGAAAAATCAAACGTATACAAATTTGAAAAATTCAAAACAAGAAAAATCAAAAAGTTCAAATAACGAAAAATTGAAAAATTCAAAAGGTGAAAAATGGAAAAATAAAAAATCGGGAATCTAAAAAGTCGAAAGAAAGAAATGAAAATTAGAAAAATTGAAAATTTCGAGGCGAAAAATTGGACAATTGGGGACATGAAAATAAAGAAATTGAAGAAATGAAATTTAGAAGACAAAACTTTGAAAAATTTGAAAGATAAAAAATCAAACCCTGGAAAATCGAAAAATCGGAAAGGGAAAATGAAATATTGAAAAATGTACCTAAAAGACAAAAACTCAAAAGATGAAAAATTGAGAATTTGAAAATTCCCAGAAAAAAAGATTTAATGAAAAATTGAAAAACTGCAAAAAGAAGAAATGAAAAATTCAAAAGAGGAAAACTAAAAAATCGAAAAATTCAAGAATGGAAAAAATAGAAATAAAAATTTAAAAAATTCCAAAGCTCAAAATGGAAAATTAATAATCGAAAATCTGAAAAATCGGAAAGAAGAAATGAAAAAATGAAAAACTGAAGATACAAAAAAAACAAAAATGAATCGAACAAATGAAAAATAGAAAAATTGAAGAATGAGAAAATTACAAAATCGAAAAATTGAAGATATGAAAAACTGGAACATTGAAAAATGAAAAATTCAAAAGACTGAAAAAGAAAACTTGATAATCGAAAAATCACGCGTATACAAATTTGAAAAATTCAAACCAAGAAAGCCCGAAAAGTTCAAATAACTAAAGATTGAAAAACTCAGAAGACTGAAAACGAAAAATGACAAAAAAATCGGGAATTTGAAAACTGAAAAACGAAAAAAGAAGAAATGAGTTATTAAAAAATTCAAGACGAAAAACTGACAAATTGAAGAAAAGAAAATTTGGAAACAAGAAGAAATGAAAAATAACAAATTCCAAGGACAAAGAATTAAAGAAAAAATCTAAAGATGAGAAATCTAAACATTAAAAGTAAAAAATCTGAAAAATAAAAAAATCCAGAAATATGAAAAATTGAATAAACGATCCTTTAAAAGATGAAAAATCGAAAAATTGAAAATTTCAAACGGCGAAAAATTGAAGGAATGAAAAATTGAAAAATTCTATGGAAACATGAAAACTGGAGAATCTGAAAAATTGAAAAATTGTAGAATCGAAAACAGAACTGAAAAATTCAAAAGGTGAAAAATAATTGAAGAAACAAAACATCGAAAAAATCGATATAGAGACATCTAAATATTAAAATTCAAAAATCTGGAAAATCGAAAACTGAGAACAAGAAAAAATAAAAAACTGAAAGTTTGAAAATAGAAGAAACGAAAAATTAAAAGTTGAAAAAACAACTAAAAAATAGAAAAATTGATAAAATTGAATAAAACGAAAAATGAAAAAAATCGAAATTCTGAGAGATTAAAAAATTGAGAAATTTTAAATTGACACTCGAAAAATAAGAAAAGCCAAATAGTTCAAATAACGAAAAATTGAAAAATCCAAAAGGTGAAAAATGAAAAAATAAAAAATCGAGAATCTAAAAAGTCGAAAGAAAGAAATGAAAATTAGAAAAATTTAAAATTTCGAGACGAAAAATTGGACAATTGGGGAAATGAAAATGAAGGAATTGAAGAAATGAAATTTAGTAGACGAAACTTTGAAAAATTTGAAAGATAAAAAATCAAACCCTGGAAAATCGAAAAATCGGAAAGGGAAAATGAACTATTGAAAAATGTAAAAGAAAAAAACACAAAAGATGAAAAATTGAGAATTTGAAAATTCCCAGAAAAAAAGATTTAATGAAAAATTGAAAAAGTGCAAAAAGAAAAAAAAAATCAAAAGAGGAAAACTAAAAAATCGAAAAATTCAAGAATTGAAAAAAATAGAAATAAAAATTTTAAAAATTCCAAAGGGCAAAAACTGGAAAATTAAAAATCGAAAATCTGAAAAATCGGAAAGAAGAAATAAAAAAATTAAAAACTGAAAATACAAAAAAACAAAAATGAATCGAAGAAATGAAAAATAGAAAAATTGAAGAATGGGAAAATTACAAAATCGAAAAATTGAAGAAACGAAAAACCTTAACATTGAAAAAAGAAAAATTCGAAATACTGAAAAAGAAAACTTGACAATCGAAAAATCAAACGTATACAAATTTGAAAAATTCAAAACAAGAAAAACCAAAAAGTTCAAATAACGAAAAATTGAAAAATTCAAAAGGTGAAAAATGGAAAAATAAAAAATCGAGAATCTAAAAAATCGAAAGGAAGAAATGAAAATTAGAAAAATTGAAAATTTCGCGATGAAAAATTGGACAATTGGGGAAATGAAAACAAAGACATTGAAGAAATGAAATTCAGAAGACGAAAATTTGAAAAATTTGAAAGATAAAAAATCAAACCCTTGAAAATCGAAAAATCAGAAAAGGAAAATGAAGTTTTGAAAAATGTAAAAGAAAAAATCTCAAAAGATGAAAAATTGAGAATTTGAAAATTCCCAGAAAAAAAGATTTAATGAAAAATTGAAAAAGTGCAAAAAGAAGAAAAAAAAAAATTCAAAGGAGGAAAACTAAAAAATCGAAAAATTCAAGAATGGAAAAAAATAGAAATAAAAATTTAAAAAATTCAAAAGATCGAAAACTGGAAAATTAAAAATCGAAAATCTGAAAAATCGGAAAGAAGAAATGAAAAAATGAAAAACTGAAGATACAAAAAAA